TCCTTGTGTAAGGAGGAGGTCACACTGAAAACTCAGCGGCACTTAGACCTCTGTGGAAATGCAGGGACTGCTGGCGGGGGGGGATGGGCAGGTCACCACAGCTGCCCCTTGGCCTGCCCGGAAGGATCTGTCTCTCTAAGGGGCTGCAGGGTGGGAAAGGGCTGTCCGCCGCCCTGTTGGGCAGACCTGCCCTGATGCCCTGAGCTGCCACCTTGGGTCCAGGGTGGGGGCAGGAGGGCTGATCCTGTAGCACTCAGATAATTGTTTGCAGGAAAGATTTGTGTTAGACCCAAAAGGTACAAAGACTGTTCTAGAATGAAAGGAACATGCTGACCAGTTGCCACGTGTGATTCTTGGCCAGGCTGAGACTAGAAAGAGGCTTTGGGATATGAAGGATGCATGCCTGGGACAGGGCTGAGGGGTGAGGAGGGAATGACCATGTGGCCAGTTGATTGCATTTTCTGAAGAGTAAGTCAGGCGTGGCAGTGTGTGCTTATAATCCAAGTACTCTGGAAAGCCGAGACAGGATGGTCTCAAATTTGAGTTTAGCCTAAGTTAGTGACTTAGACTGTATTTCAAAATTTCAAAACAAAAAAAAAGGCTGGGGAAATAACACAGTGTGAAGGCCATGGGTTCCATCCCCAGTACCAACAAGGAAAAAAAGATAAAGTGGTAATGACATGATAGAGATGAACATGGGTCTTTATCGTAGGAGACAGATAATTGAGGAGTTTAGGTCCTAGAGTCTATAACTTTCCTTGATTGGCTCAGTTGAACAAAACTCTTTTTCCACTTTCTGGTGTGGCTGAAAGTTTTCACAACAAAAAGTTAGGACAGGAGAGCAGGAGGAACAAAGAGACGTCTCATCTGGGGAATCGGGCAGGAAGCCGGGACTCTCCACAGCAGCCTCTGCACCTGTGGGAAAGCACCTGAACGGTGGCCCCGCTTTCCAAAGAGCAGGATAAACTAAGCCTGGGTTCCCACTCAGAGGCCATCAGAGATGGGAGGAAATGAAACTGAGGGTGACAGTCACAGAGACAACGGTAGACGGGGATCCTCACGGCCCCCTCCCATGCTCACGTACAGAACGTCAGCCAATGACAAAGTTCAGGCAAGAAAGCAAAAGGGGTGCCAGTGAAAAGGACGCAGCAGAGCAGCCAGGAGAAGAGAAGGATCTATCGCCTGCCCGGGAAGGACGCGTGGCCCAAGGACAGGCTTCCGTTCACAGCCAGGAGCTGTGTGAACAGGTGGGAGAAGTGAGTGGCGGAAGGCGGAGGAGAGAGCCATTCCCAGCCGGAACTGCACAATCCCCACAACAGACTAGGGCAAGAGACCAAAATAAATATGTTTCTGGAAAACCAAAAGCCAAGAGGGCTTCAGACCCTGGATCACTGCCAAAATGACAACTTCCGCAGGAACGCTCCCAGCGGTTATAGAGCGAACCCAGAAAACTGATCTGAATTTTAGGATGAATTAAATACTAGGTCTGCAGACGAAACTAAGCATACCCAAACAGGATGTCAAGGATGTGAATTAAGACCTGGTAGAACTACAGGAGAAACTGCAGACCTGTTACCAGGCGGGCTGGTTCCCGTCTAGCTCTTTCAGTTAGGAATGCAGCCAGGTGATGCTCAGGAGCAGAGATAAAGTAGAACCGAACCACACCTGGAACGAACTTGCTTTATTCCCTGTGCGCACTGCAGGGTGTTGTCCACAGCTAGGGAGCGAGCATTCCTCCAGGCACGGACTGGTGGCCTTTACGACAACTGACTAACTAGGCTACCAAGTGCAGGAGGTAGGCAGCCGCTCCAAATAGGACCAGTCGGTACAGTGATTATGTCAATCAAAATCAACCAAGGAAATCCATACTCAGGAAGGGCCGAGTAGCCTCTTTTCCCACGCACAGCCGGACTTAAGGGCTCCGCCGGGGGAGATGTTCTGTCTCGCTGAGGTGAGAAAATAGGCTTTATCGCCAGAGATGGCTCGGGAGTCTGTGATCAACCCGAACGGATAAATTCACTGGGGAAACCTTTCTCCTGCGTGACCTGCATTGCCTGCAGATACCTCTTCGTTATCGGGACATGCTTGAACAGAGAGCCTGAGTGATGGACTCATTTCTCCAGCCCTTCCTGCACGGATTGATCACAGTTATCGGGACATGCTTGAACAGAGAGCCCGAGTGATGGACTCATTTCTCCAGCCCTTCCTGCACGGATTGATCACAGATTCGAGATACAGCAGCACCTTGCTGGGACCTCTCCTTCCGCCCTTCTCTCCTGTTCTCTTCATCTTTCTCCTCCTCCTCATTCTCTTCTTCCCCAGCCTGTCTTCTTCTTCCTTGACTTTCTTCTCCTCTGGTACTGGGGATTGAACTCAAAGCTTTTGCACTGAACCCTTTTTTATTTTGTGTTTTGATTCAGGGACTCACTATATTGCCCTGGCTGGGCTTGAACTTGCAGTCCTCCTGCCGCAGCCTCCCAGAGTGCTGCGATTTTAGATGTGTGCCCCCACACAGCTATTTGGACCATTTCTGTGGACTTCACACTTCTGTGGGGACCCCGGGTACATGTGCAATGAATAAAACTTGCATGTTTTTCTCTCTAGTCAGGCCTGTGCTAATTTGGTCCCTAGACTCAGCCAAAGTGTCCAGCAAGACCGAAAGGAGGGGAGAGGCCCCTCCTCGTCTTATGGTGTTGCTGATTTTCCCTCATGTTCTGTGGCTTGCACCAAGCTCACCTCCAGCGCTGACTCTGTTCTCGTGACACAATCACAGACCACTCTAGGGACAAACTCCAGGGCCTTACCCGGCTGCTCATTAAAAGCACAAATGGGTTTTCGCCTGAGGCAGTCGGGACTTAAAAGTGTTTTTTTGGTTCCAAACCATGACTCTTCACTGGGACCTACAGATGCCCAATAGGACAAAGCTTGGCCTTCAGTTTGTATTTTTTGTTGCCTTAAAACTACATTCAAATCCCCCTTCAAGATGAAAGACACCAAGAAAGAGTGACCAATTTTTCAGGTTTGCGGGGACGTTTTGTGGCTGGCTCTTACAACGTCCACTTAGGAGGCAGAAGAAGCTTTTCCCTGCCTGCTTTTCCTTGTGACTCCAGAGAGGGTGTGGCTTCTGACAGTGGTCACACCCTTCTGCCCAGCTTCCCTTCCCCTAGAACTCCCCAAGCTGCAACAGGGCAGACGGGCTCAGTGTCCTTCAGTCACCCCTGAAATTACTTTTCAGCCACTGTCTGGGCTGCTCAGACAGGAAGTGCTTCTTACCACTCCAGCTGCAGGCTGTTACCTTGCTGAGGAAGCAGAGGGGATACCACCCCTAATGTGGCAGAGATCAGAGGGGGACCCAGCCCACTACTAACACCCCTGTCCTCCCCAGACCCCGGTGACCTGTGACTAACACTGCTAGTCCTGAAAATTCTCCCCCCTGCTTTGTGTGGGAACTTGACGGCTGTCCTGGGCCCCACACCTGCTACAGGAGGGGTTTTCATTCACCACAGAGGACTTGAATTTGAGCTAATTTGAGCTAAGCAGCAGAAAGAAATACGGGCCAATCCACTTCCTTAAATTTGGACCAATCAGCAGGCTTGAGTTCAGACCAATCGTGGACTGACAACTGCTATATAAGCAGCCATCCCCTCCGATTCCTGGAGTTGAGGTAGAGGGGCTGTGTTTATGCACTGATCTCTCTGTGCTGCAGCATAATTCCTGTTCAAATAAAGCCCCCCTCTGGGGGCCTGGGAGAGCTGCCTGTGATTTATTTCTCAGGTAGTGTGGGCTCAGGAGGTTCTGTAAATCTACTTGGGATTCTCATCCTGAGGAATGTGGTCAGAATAGTCACTTTAACAAAGATCTATGGATGCTTAGGGTTGTTAGCCCTGAAGAGCACAGAGATCGGTAGCCAACAAAAAGAGTTCGGCATCAGCTGGTGCTGAGCTATGGCATCAGAGCTCAGAGCAGAAATAACTAACAGGCTAAGGGCCCTCAGCACACAAAGCCCAGGGAGGCTAGGAGAGCCACACTGTGCCAAGTCATGATTTCCATGTGAATTGAGCAAAGAACCCCTGGCTGGTTGGCAGCAGTTCCAGACCCCCCCCCCCTCCCTGGAATCATACTAAGAAGTCCCCAAAAAGCAGAAAAAAGCAGAGCCACACATGCCACAAATGGCACCACTGACATTGCCACAGACTAAGGCCATCAAGGATGAAGGAGTTGGGGTGGCCCATGTTTCCCTGTACCCTAACCCCCATCTTCCCTGAGCCACAGGTTCTGGTGAGCCGTCTTTCTATGGAGCTCCCAAAACCCCCTGACTCAGACGCTGGGGCTGGAAGGACAAACCAGCACCTTCCTTTCTCACAGAAATGCACGTGCCCAGGCCAAGGCTGGGGAGACCCTTGGAGGAGATTAGAACTTCTCCTCTTCAGTGGTTGGCCTGAGGCTGTGGCAGGAGACACTGAGCTCTGGCCTGCCTGGTGGCCAGAGCTGGCCCAGCAGAATGAGTCACAGAGGGGCCACTGTGGGTCATTCTACTGGGTTTAGCAAACAAAATCTGAGCCTCCTTCAAAGGCTCGTGTGAATTCACCTCACACTGGGCTTGGGGCCTTCCAGTGGCATCTGAAAGGTTTCTGGTCAATGAATGAATAAAACCCTAAGTACTTGAATTCCCCAGTATCCTCCTGAAACTGCCAGGGTCCCCACAGTGACGGGTCTTTGTAGGCTGATGAGGCACTGCCTCTGCTGGAGTCCACAGTGACCATGGCAATGACCCACGGGGGGTGGAGGTGGAGGGGTGGTGGTGGTGGTAATTGAAAGTCTCCATAAATTCCTATCTCAGCGTCCAGTCTTGAATAGAGATGAGATGGGTTATGAAAATTTAAGGCTAATCTACTGTGTATTGTTTAGACAACCCTCAATGATTAACACGTGTACCCAGAGCCCGGCAAGGATCTGATCCCAAGTTTTAAGTTAATAAAGGAGACAGATACAAAGTGAGATCCAGCTTGGTTCTGCTTTCATTTACCCAGTGGGCATCTGTAGACCCCAAGTGAAGAGCTTTTTTTTTCTTTTTAAGGCAAACGCAGCTTTTAAGTTTACCCTTCTTTATGGCAGAGAGGTACACTATTATGCGTAAATGCCATGTTTTCTGTAATCTTTCATCTGTTGGACCACGTGCAGGTCACTTCCAAGGTTTAGCTACCATGAATTGTGCTGCTATAAACATGGGCATGCATGGGTCACTGTAAACTGTGGTCCCTTATATGAAAAACCCAAAGTGTAAATAAGACAAAATAGAAGACAGACAGTAGGAAAGAGGGAGACTGAGCTTCTGTAAAAGAGAAGGGGCCAGAACCGGAAGGAAGAGGGAGGGAGATGAGGGGAAAGAGATAAAAGAGGATCAAGAGGACGCGGAATGTAGTTGATTTGCCGGGCAGACATGCAGCGATATAAATAAAAATTTTAAAGAAGGAGAAATCGAGGAGGAGCAGGCCAACACACCCAGGTAGCGGGTGCAGACTGGGCACAAAAGGGGTGCGGGGAGGGAGGCACGGCCAGGGTGGGAGTCCTCTGTCTGAGCTGCAGGAAACGCTGCCCCACCTCCACAACAGTGAGGCTGCGCCCCCCACCTGCGGCATCTCCCCAAGACACCGGAGCGCAGCATTTCTTTTTTAGGGTTTTTCTGAGGACTCGTGTGCTGCGACAGCCCACTCCGGGGAGGCTGCGTGGCACTAGGAAGCCAATGATTTTTTTTTTTTAAAGAACAAGCAGCACCTAAGAGCCTCTTCCCATCGCAGGGAAAGCGCGCTGGTGCTGGCGGGGGCGGGGCCCAGCCTCCGGGCAGGAATCCTTGAAGCCGGGGTGTTGCAAGGGGGGAGGGACGCAGACGAGGAAGCTATTTTGGGGTGGGACCCTCGGGCCTCGGTGACAGATTGGCGGTGGGGAGGAGGGAAGCATGCAGCGCTCCTGGCTGGGGAAGGTGGTGCGCGGAGACGGAAAACCCAAAATGGGCTGGGTGGGGTCCTGCTAGTACGTACTGTGTGGACACGAGAATTGTTACGTGTGCGCGTGTGCGTGTGCGTGTGCGTGTGTGTGTGTGTGTGTCAAGTGTGAACCCAGACACAGCCCCATCCCAGCTCCTGTGCAGGGAAAGGGCCATTTAGCCAGAAGCCCAACAGCAGCCAGCAGGGCACAGGTCTCAGGCTGGCAGGGTGGCTGTGCTGGCATCCTTCTCCCCTTGGTGCCATGCTGGACTCCAGGAGGACCTTGTCTTGGTCCCCTGCACAAACGCAGAGGCTATATTGATGGAGCCCAAGACCCCCACTTTTCCAGAGGCTGCAAAATGTGCTTTAAAAAAAAAAAAAGAAAATCTTTTAGGAGTTTTGGTTTCCCTTTTAATCCCAAATGGTCTTTTAAGCTTTTGGCTCCTATATTTAACCTATTTAATGAGATTTCTTTTCCAGTAATTCCTGAAACTGGTAATCTCTAATTGGGTCAAATTCTCTACCCACAAGCCAGCCAGGCTATTTTTAGTGCAAATCCTCAGGCTGAAGCTCCTCCGGCCTCCCAGACGCAGCTGTCAGCGCTGCTCTCCACCACGCTCTGCTCTCTCGAGCCAGACCTGATCCGGAATATTTTCCCACTACGTTGTCCTCACAGGGCCCGCCCGCCTGCCGCTCGCCCAGCCTCCCGGCCTCCCCTGCATCTGTAGCCCCAGGATGGTTTACACAAATCCATTTAACGCTCCTCAGCTTAGGTACTCAGTGTCGCTAAAAATAATCCAGTCCTGGCAGCGGCTTTGGGGAAGCACCTGAGCTTGGTTGCCTTTTGTGTTCACTGAGGCTGAGTCCCCTGAGGGGACAGGGAGGGAAGCCAGGGCTTACAGTGACCCTGAAAGTCATTAGGTTGCTCCAGGTGGGAGGAACCAGCTACTTCTGTCTGCCTTTGCCACCATGACTTCCTGCAGGGCAGCGTGGGGCTGCTCTGTCCTGTGTCCCCGGGTTGCCCAAGGGACTGCTGCCTGGGGAGAGCAAGACCCACCCTTGTTTGAGGTGCCCACATCTCCGGCTGGGGGTGGGGCATGGATGGTGGCATATAGGGAGAGACTGCACCTCGGTTGTGTAGATGGTCACCTGTCAGAGGTCCAGGTCCCAGTAGCCATTGTGGGCCCAGGGTCTGCAAGCCTGGCCCATTTCCTTCAAGGTAGGGGTGATGGCAACAAGTGTAGAGACAAGACACCCTGAGTTTCCGGACCCTGCCCCAGGGTTATAGGCAGCTGAGTCAGTTAGAAATATTCTAGGCAGTCAGAGAGGTCTGGGCTCTGGAAGGAGCCAGTGCAGGAGCCCAGATACCTTGCAACCTTGGGGGAGACAGACACCCCTGCTTTGGGCCAACCTCAAGACAAAAGGCAGAACAAATGCAGCCACACCCTAAATACAGACATCAGGGATTGATAATCTAAATAGGTACAGATCGCCCTGAGGAAGCCAGGAGCCATGCTAATCCCTTAGCAGCAGAGACCGTGTTCCGTGTTCATGTCTACTTGTGACTCAACTCCCCATTTGATCCCGACTTAACCAATCTGTCCTGAGCAATCGCACTCATAATCTCATTGGTTGGCCGTAGTTCTGTCCCACTCATGCCTTCCTGCTTTGTGAGTTCCTATTTTCCCCCACTGTGGACCTGGCTCACCTCATGGTTTTGCTCTAGAGAAAGGAGGGGTCCTCGGCAACCCGCTCGGGACCCCTTCTGTCTCTCTCTGGGACAGAAGCTTTCTTTCTCTCAATAAACATATTCTGCTCTTTACCTCCGTTGTTCCTAAAATTCATTCTTTGATTTCAGAGAACACGAACTCCTACAGACATGTAGTAGGCTGGGGGTTTCTTTCCTCCAAATCACCAGGGTTTTTCCAGAAGCCATGTCCACAGAAGACCCAAAGGTTTGAGAAGAAGCTCTTAGCCCTGCTGTCAGCCCTCTGGTCCGCACTGGGAAGGCAGCCTTAATTCAGAGTGTGCTCGGTGGTGGACCACGGGCCTGCCACGACTTGGGAACATAGACTCGACACACTTTTCCTTTGACCAGATTCCCTAGGGAGAGCTAATTCCACATGTTCATCTCAGGCAGACAATCAGACATCACCCTGGAGATTCCTATGAGAGGCATTGTGGATGGGATTTAGGATTAAGTCAGTGGACTGTGAGTGAAGCAGATTGTTCTCTAAATGTGGGTGGGCCTGGTCCAATCAGGGGAAGGCCTGAGCAGAACAAAAAGGACTGATCTTCCTCAATCACTGAGGAACTGCCCAAGAGGCAGCCACTGGATTTGATGGGAGGTGTGGTGCTCCCTAGGTCTCTGGGCTGTCTGCCCACCCCAAGAACCATATCCACCAGTTCCTTCAAAGAATCTCTCCCCCTACTCTTGCTGTTAGTCCTGTCTCTGGAGAGCTCTGCTCTGCACACAGAAAGACAGACAGACAGACAGACACACACACACACACACACACACACACCCCACATACCTAGCAGACTCCAAATCCCAGCTTACCTTGTCTGACTTGAGTGCAGTGTGGACCTCATTTGGGGTCAGCCAGGAGGTGCTGGGAGGAAGCAGCAGGTACTCCTCAGTGGTGCCCTGGGCCATGCTCTGTGGGGAGAGGGCCTGGAAATACCACTTCCACTCTCCCAGTGCAACAGCCCCGGCTCCTTCCAGCACCACAGTCCACACATGGCAAACACCAGCTACCTGTTATGAAGTTCTCGATCACCTCCAAGACAGTCTGGGACAAGTCCCAACTGTCCTGCGAGCCCACTCTCGGAGTGGAGACTCTTGATAGAAAGAGCACAGCACAGACAAGGGCAAACTTCAGGCACCAGATGCCGGCCCAGCCCCTTGCAAGAGTGACTTCCACATTCCAGGTTGTGCCCAAGGGCCCCAAAAAGCTTGGCAAGGAAGAGAACAGAACCCACGCCATGCTCACCAATAGACTAGAGCAGAGATCGGGGCTCACCGGGACACCTTAGTGAGTCTAATGTCCTCTGAGTTTAGAGAAGGAAGTTGCAATCAAGGAGCAGAGCAGGCTGGCATTGGCTCTTGTGGTCATCCAGGAGGACAGGTCTCCTTCGGAAGCCTGAGAGTGGTGCTGGGCTGGGCCAACCGTCACCATCTGCAGGTGGCAGACAGGCTTTGGGCTCTGTGTGCAGAGAGATCTGAGATTAAAGCCTGGGAAGCTGGGACAAGTTGGTCTACACGAGGGAAGGGTGGAGGATCTCCTGGGAAGTGTCACACTGGGACCAAAGGTGTCCTGGTATGCAATGTCTCTGGGAGAACTGCAAGGGAGAAGGATTGGTCCTTATGTGGGTTCTGGATCCAGGTACCCCATTAACACAAGGTGGCTCACCAGAGAATGGCGAGCCTGTGAAGGAATGGCAGGATCTCTACGCTGGGGCAGGAAACTCCAGAGTTTTCATGGGAGATCTATGGTGGGAAGAGCTGCAGACACTAATAGGGAGACGGCTACTTCGGAGTTGGTTTGCTGAGGTTTATTACAGGCCCTGGACCAGTCTCTGCTGAGTCGGGCTGTTTTTAGACCTTGGTATGTGGGCCGTCACTCCCGAAAGAACCTTTAAGTTTGCTGCATGTTGGAAAAGTCAGGCCAAATGGCCTTTTCTGGAGTCACAGTTCCTCCAGTGAGCACAGCTTGCACTAATCACTAGACCAGCTCAGAATACTTTGAGATGCTGCATCCTGAATGCCTTCCACACCCATCTCTTCAGGTCAGAATCTCTCTCCCTGCTTGTGATCCCAGCACTGGGAGGCTGAGTCAGGAGTATTGTGAGTTTGAGCCCAGCCTGGGCAATTTAAGGACTTAGAGAAACCTGTCTCAAAGAGAAAATAAGAAAGGCTGATATGAGGCTCTGAGAGGTCCTAGGTTCATTTCCCAGCAGTAAAAAAAGAAAAAAAATCTCTGAGCTGTCCTTATGTCCAGGTCCCCAGAGAGGTTTACTGTAAAGTTTTTCTCTGGGAAGCCTTGGGGGATACAGGGACAGCAGGGAAGTGGGTCAGAGGGACAGGACCAGGAGCAAGAGGTCACCAAGGATATGTAAGGCCCACCCACCCCTGCAGGAGCCTCTCTCCTCTCTCTCTCTGTTCTTTGAGACAGGGTTTCACTGTGTAATTCAGGCTGCCTTGAACTCACTTTGTAGCTTACACTGGTCTCAAACTCACAGCAATTCTCTTGCCTCAGCCTCCTAAGTGCTGGGATTACAGGAGCCCACCATCACACGTGGCCTAGGAAGAAGCCCAACTTCTGATCACGCTGGGCTAGGGCCTGCCCTTCCTCTGATGCCCACAGGCATCATAGGCTGGGTCCCATCTTATGTGGCAAGTATACTTAATCCTCCAATGACCACTGACTATCGCTTTTTCTTGCAAACCTGGACATACAGGTGGATGCTTATCTAAGACCCAGCGTCCTCGTCAAGCACAGGTCATGTGGACACCTATCCCATCATCTCCCACTCCATCTTTTTGCTGTGTCATCAGTGATGGTTACAATGGCTGACCAGTGAGCCCAACTGCTGCCTCCCGCGTGTCCCTGGCTTTCTGTCCATTTGCCACTTGTCCCCTCCCAGCAGCTGTAGTCCCTGCCTTCAATGTGCCCCATTGTCCAGATGCACCAAGTTCCAGGAGTGAGCAAGGTGAGCAGCATCTCCCATTGGATCCCATTGGATCCTGCGACCGTGGCGGGGCCGCAGGTGGCAGTGTGAGCCCTGCTCATCCACCATCAACCACACAAGCCAGCGCCTTCTCACAGTTCTGGATGAAGGCAGTCCAGCTGAAGTTTTACGTCACTTTTTGAAGAAGGAGCCCCAAAGAGCTGGATGGGGAGGTGGTTTCTGATTGCTGTCCTCAAGTGGATTAAGGACCTGTTTCCAAACCCCACACTTTCTAAACAGACAAGAACACAGCAAAAGGGCCCCAAGGGCTGGGACCCACTGGGGTCACGGTGGCCAGGCTCTGGAGGCTGCCTTTATAAAGGGGGGAAATGCGAGGGAGGTGACGTGAGACTCTGTCTTAGTCTGCTTTCTGTGGCTGAAAGAGAATAACCAGGTGCAGGTGCTTTAGAAAGGAAAGACGCTTACACGCTCACAGTTCCAGAAGCCAGAATCTGCTCAGTGTCTGCAAGAGGGCCTGGTGCTGACCCACGCTTAGCAGAAGGTGGAAGGGTAAGGGATGCCTTGGCGGCAAAGAGAGGGTGACCTCCCACTAGCCAGTCTGGTTAACCCATCTGTGATTCCCCACCTCCAAGCTCCTTTTGGCTTCCACAGGCTCTGTCTATGTCCAGATTTCTCCTTTCTATAAGGACACTGGAGGGGACGCCACTGCAGACGACTTCCCTCTTTGTCCCTGGCTGCAAAGTGCCAAGGACAAAGAGGAAACTGCTGCCATATCAGCGTACAAGTCTACATTTACGGGGACATCGAAGGACTCTTGTCCTGCCAGGGTTTAACAACAGGTGTTGGAACACAGAGCCCCAGGATCCTCCGGTTCTCTGCACATCTACTCTGGGACTCAGGGCCAGCATCCTCATCAAACAAGGGCCACAAAACTGCCCAGTCCCATTTAGCCTGCATGCTTAAATAGGACTGCAGGAGTGGTGGTGAGCAGAGCCGAGGTACCCACAAGGATCCGTCTCTCCATCCGCTCCTCCTAAAAGTCTTCCTGGCCCTCCTTCAAGCTGGCGATGCTCGCCCTATCAAAGAACATTTTATTTTTTAAGTGTTGGCATGGGGGAGGAGTTGAGGGCCAAAGCAAGGGCCAAGGGTGATGCTTATTTGTGAGTTTTGTCGCCAGATATAACTTTGTGTCACATCTTTCTTCTTCGTGGGGTTTGATCATCTTGGGGCATTAACCATTTTTGCTTTCATAAAATCACTAGGCTATGAATACACTGTGCCATTTAGCCAGAGAGTTCACATGTGGTGCTTGAAAAGAAAGATCCTGAAGACATTTGAACCTTCAAAGAAGGGCGGGGACCAATGGATGGGAGAGACAGCCCCGCCAGGAGGGCTTTCCAGAGGAGGGGGTGACCAGGGAGGGAGGGAAGTGGGGGGGGGGCGGATCAGGGCGTGAGTACCAGGCATGCAGAATGGAAATGGGCCCCACCTTAGGTAAAGATCATAGACATCGTTTTCCTCCATCACTGGGTAGGTGACCACTTTAGAACCTTTACAAAAACAGTGAGTTTGTGTGATTCACCCTAATTTCAGAGAAAAATGGAAGCACCGCAAATTCTATTCTTCGAGCCCATGTGACAACACATAGGCAGTGGCTCTAGAGCCACTGGAATCCTTGGGGCTTCTAAAATAGACCAAGGCCAGCCCTAGACCAATTAAGCCTGAGTTTCTGGAAGTAGGGTATCCTATGGGCTGGGGTCCCTGTTTCAATCTCCAGGTCTCCCAGTGGGTGAGGGTCTCTGTAGTTCTTATTCTGCTCCAGGCCCTCCAGAAGGGACAGATGTCTCCAATCCTTTGGGGACAGAGGCTGCCACCCCAGAGGCCACCTCAGCACCAGGTCCCCAGCTCCTGCATCCTGCCACCTGTCCTGGGGAAGGGACCTTGTCGCCCTCACCGAATGCCTGGCTATTCTTTAGGCCACACAGCAGCGCTGTCTAGGGCTCTGCTCCTCCCGCTCCGCCCTGCGCCGGCAGCCTGCTATCTTTTCCCCTGGACCGGGCGGGGACCCCATCCTGGCTCAGTTCTGCACCCCGACTAACCTCTCCGTCCCCGTCCCGGGCCACATCCCGGGGGGACGCGGCTGGCAGGAGCCGGGCGAGGAGCTGCCACCGTGCAATCCTCCTCCCGCCCTCGGGCTCCTGGAGGTTCCTCTCTTCCTCACCTTTGCGCCCTGACTCTAGGTCCCCAGCCGAGCGCCAAGTCCTCTCCTGTGACCTGTTTTTATTTGGGGAAGGGAGGCACGTCTGTCAGGACCCTCCCTTCCTCCACTGGGAATTTTTTAACGTTCCCCAAAGACTCAAGGGGGCGGGTGCCACCGCTCACAGGTGGAGGCACCCAGAGGCTCGGTGGGGCCCTGGAGGTGGCCAAGCTCACGCGGCCCCCGGGGCGGGCGGGGACGCGGGCTGAAAAGCTGCGCGTCTCCCGGCCCGCGGCTCCCGCTCTCGGCTGTCGCAGCGCGGTGGCCGCCCAGGACCGCGGCCGGGGCGCGGGCGGGCGCAGTGCGCAGGCGCGCCGGGCGGGAGGGGACGCGCTCGGGGCGCGCGCGCTGGGCAGCCGGCGGCGCCCCAGCTCCTCCCGCCCGCGCCCCGGCGCCTCGCCGCCCGCCCGCGCCCGGCGCCCCGGGCTCCCCGGGCTCCCCGGGCCGGCGAGGGGCGCGCCCGTGGCCGCGGCCGCTGCATGGCGCTGGGATGTCGGGGGCGCCGCGCGGCGGAGGTGGGGGCGAGCCCGGGGGTGCGGAGCGGGCGGCCGGGCCGGGCGGCCGGCGCGGGCTCCGGGCGTGTAGCGAGGAGTTCGCGTGCCCCGAGCTGGAGGCACTGTTCCGCGGCTACACGCTGCGGCTGGAGCAGGCGGCCACCCTGAAGGCGCTGGCTGTGCTGAGCGCACTGGCGGGAGCGCTGGCGCTGGGCGAGCTGCTGGGCGCGCCGGGGCCCGCGCCCGGCCTGGCCCGCGGGTCGCACCCGGTGCACTGCGCGCTCTTCCTGGCGCTGCTCGCGGTCACCAACGTGCGCTCGCTGCGGGCGCCGCGCCTGCGGCAGGTGGCCCGGCTGGCGCTGCTGCTCAGCCTCACCTTCGCGCTGCTCTGCTGCCCGCTGGCGCTCGGCGGACCCGCGCGGGGCCTGGCCGGGGCGGCCGAGGGCTCGGCGGCCGCGGAGCAGGGCGTGTGGCAGCTGCTGTTGGTCACCTTCGTGTCCTACGCCCTGCTGCCCGTGCGCAGCCTGCTGGCCGTCGGCTTCGGGCTCGTGGTGGCCACCTCGCACCTGCTGGTCACAGCCACCCTGGTCCCCGCCAAGCGCCCGCGTCTCTGGAGGACGGTAAGTGGGTCCCGGACACGCCGCGCGGCGGGATCGGGAGTGCCTGGAGTTGGGTGCGTTTTCACCGACCGGGCGGATGGGGAAACTGAGTTCCTTGACGGGGGAAGGGTTGTTCAAGGTCACTCAGCTAGCCGGGGCAGTCTGCCTGGGCTCTGCACGAGGATACAGTCTAGTCACAAAGCGCAGAGGGCGCGCGGCACGGAGAGGGATACGCATGGAGAGGGAGACTGGCCCAAGGTCGTGGCCAGGGATCGGCTAGACCGAGATCCAATGCGCTCTCCGGAGCCCAGCCCCGCAGAGGGACTGGTGGCGGCGGGAGGTTCTGGCTACTGGCTGGGATCTCCGGTGGTGGGCGCGCAGCCCCCACCCTTCGGGGGTCACTGCTGTGCCTTGGAGACCCCAGGGGAGGATGTGTGGTGACAGAAAAGGACTTTGTGTTCCTTCAGTTTCCCGGTCTGTCCCGTGGGAATCCCTTCTGCCCCTGGAGGAGCAGGGTTTGCCAAGGTCACCCACAGTCTGGTCTCTGCCGCCCCTGCTCTGAGGTCGCCCTGACCCTGCCTCCGCAGCGCAGAACTTTGTCACTGTCTTCTGGGTTGGGCAGGGGAGATGGTGGCAAGGACAAGGACACAAGAGTTCTACCTCCCGTTGTTCCTCCTGGACTCCTGCCAGACCTACCCCTCAGCCAGGATGGGAGGTGGGCAGCGGCGGTGCCGCTGGGGACTTCGGGACCTTTCCCTGGCACCTGTCCTGCACCAGCCCCAGGGAGGGTTTGGTTCCTCTTTCCAGCTGCAGCTCTGGAGGTGATGTGAGCCAGTGCATCAGGGACCTTGTTTGAGGAAAGAGTAGCCAACACGGAGCCTGGACACTGGGAGGTTCAGGACTGGGGCTGGTTCCAGGGAGGGAGCGAGGGGGCACTCAGCAGCCGTGCCTGTGTGGGGGATGAACGGGATCAATGCCTGACCTCAGCCCCTGAGGCTTGGTGGGGGGGGGGCACAGGGTGTTCAGCCTGGTAAGGGTTCAGGGATGTGCTGGGCTTGCATTTCAGGGCCCCGAGAGAGACCTCAGGTGCAGACCCATGGGCAGGTGGGGCACTGGTGAGGAGGAGGAGAGAGGGCATGGAGCTGAGCTGGCAAAGATGGGTTGGGAGGTTTGGGGAGATGCAGGAGGCGCGGGGGTGGGGGCCAGACAGAGAAGAGGTACAGAGAGCAGCCAGGGGGAGTCCAGCCAGGGAGTGGCACAGGGGTGGACATCCTCCTGGGCACTCCCATGCTCCCCAGCCCCCATCCGAAATGCCTGCTTTGATCCTGGCTCTCAGTGGGCAGCCAGACCCTTGTGGGTGCCATGAGCTCCCCACCGCAGCCACAGGGGCAGATGCCAGGGCAGCCCGGGGGAGGAGGGCTGGGGATCTGGGCCATGCTGTCCCCCTGTGCACACCGGGGCGTCTGTGGAGGCCATCAAAGGCTGTATTGTCTCTTTTTAAATAGAGAATTTTCCTGCACAGCCCCTAGGCGTTGCTTTCAGAGAAAGATTTAAAAAAACGATAAGGAGGAATCTGCCAAGGTGGCCCTGTCCCTCCTTCCCTTCCTCCCTCCAGAGTGAGAAAAGCCCCTGTCACTCAAGGGGGAAGGAAGCCCAGAAACAAGCGTGCTAGGGACGGCTCCCGAGTTTCCTCACCTTTGGCTCCCTGGGCATTGCAAACCCTTCTCTCGCTGAGCCTCAGCCTCCCCACCTGTGTGGAGAGAGAAGCGTGCCTTGAAGGGCTGATTTGAAGGTGGGAGGTCCCGTGGGAAAGGCACAGACTGGAAATCTCCCGTTATTTCCGAGCCCTTCTGTCCTCTTTAGGATGTGTGTGTTCAGGTTCATGCCACTGGTGGTGATAAGATGGGATCCAGCCAGAGCGACCTGTGGTGGTGGGAAGGGCTGGATGCTCTCCTGTGGGTCCTGCCGGCCAGCTGCACCATGCCAGGTGCCTGGGAAACCTGTCCTTAATGAGCTCCGGGTGAGGCAGGCAGCGTGCACGGCAGGCAGCGTTGGCGTCTCCCCTGTTCTGCCTCACCACCGCAGCCTCCTGTACATTGCATCTGTCACCTCTGGGCTCATCCCTGGTGCTCAATCCTAGGCAAGCAGTAGCCATGCATGTGTAGGAGTGGGCACCGCAAAGGGACAGACTGAACGGAGGAGGACATCCTGCCAGGGGGGGTGGGGTGGGGAGGGACACAGTGGGACAGTTCTGCAGGGTCTCCACCTCTGTGGGGCTCTCCTGGTGCTGAGCCTCAAGAAAGCACTGGAGCCTGAGTTCAAGTCTGCTCTGTGCTGGGGTGCACATCTGCTTGCAGGTCGCTGACCATCTTTAAGGAGTGGCTGGGGCTCCTGCAGTTGTCCTGTTGTACTTGGGGCGCATGAGGCTCTGGGAGCACAGCCTGTGCTTTGAGGAACCCTTTCCATAGAGCCCAGGCCAGCAGTGTGCACTGTTGTTGTTGGTAGGTGTCCACTCCTGCCCTGACAGAGTGCTTGGTGTGCCCTGCATCCACGTCAGGGAGGTCTCTGGGGCGTTTGGCCCGGCTCTACAGTAGGGACAGCGATCAGGAGCTGCCTGTGAATGATACGTGCAGTCTTGGCCTCCCTGGGTTCTTTCCCACTCCCAGCCCCCTACTTCCAGCTACTTTCGGACCCAAACTGTAAAGCAGTGCGCTTCAATGGTGCTGAGCCGCTCCCATGTGTGAGGTGTGGTTTGCTCTGTGGGGGCTGCTGGTCAGGGAGGCTACAGAGCACGGGTGCAGGACCTGTGGGACAGGGAAGAGGGGAGAAGACTAGAGGCCCCAGGGCTGGCCTGGCCCTTGGGGGTGCCACCCACTGGAGGGACACAGAGTGCCTCCGAGCAGGGCTGTGCTAGTGACACACTCCAGGACATTGCTGGTATTTTTAAAATTTTGGCGGTCACAGAGATCCGTTTTCTGGTCCACAGTGTGTGTTTGCAGTTCAGTCACTTCTGTACCTAGAAGAAATGTGCCTCCACTTCTGCTCATAACCTTAGGCAGGATCACAGACATCTGTCAGCTGTTTGCTGTGTCTGATTGGTGACCCCAAATCAGGGAGTGGGGTGCTGGGCTAGATCTCACGATGGAAAAGACCTCAGGATGTAGGAGCAGGCTCCGGCTTGTTGCCAGCTGCGGCAGGAGCCACACCCATGCCCGCAGCCAGTGTGCCTGTCTCCGCCCCTGGGCTGGGTGAGGCGATGGTGGAGGCCTCCGCTGTGTGCATCTCGGTGCACGGCCGCCCCTCCTGTGTTCCTGCTCACGTACACACACCTGTGACCACCATGAACACAGGCTACCACACGATCACATGAACACTCACAGACTGACGCATGCTCACACCTTCATAATTCCATACAAACACACTGGTATACACTCTTACACTCATTTTCAGACTTGTATACACACAGATACCCCCACCAGCTGCTAAGTCATGTGTACTTATGTGTGCATAGAACCACACTGGAGCATGCACACACACTCTTGCATGGACCCAGCCATCTACATGTCAGCCACGCCCACTCACAGGTGATACCATTGGTGGGCACCAGTGTCCTCATCCAAGTGGCAGTTGCAGGGCTATGGCAGAGACCCGCCTGGGGCCCTCTGCCCACACCTGCTCTATGACCTTCAGTGACACGTGGGGACTGGATCGTGGATTGAAGAGGCCAAGCTCAGGCTGGTGTTGGACCCCAGAGCCCGGGGCAGGAGGAAGGGGGTGCCCTCCACGTCCAGGGGCTGGGATGGGCTGCGTCTGATTCTAGACAGAGGACAGGGGCTCGAGCCTGGCCGCTGCACCCTTTTCAGCAGCCTGGATCTCCTGTTTGTTGGCATGTTATAAGTTCCATGTGACACACACCTGCTGCTCTGTCCCTTGCTTTCTGCAAGCTCTGGTCCTTCTAGAGCTGAGACGTGGTTGATGGCACAGTGCCTTGTGAGGGGCCTCATGCCCATGTGTGGGGACATGGGGTGTCCGGCCTGGATAAGCAGGATGCCTGCTTGTAGCACGGTCACTGCCCACAGTCTGGTCCTCACCTTGGGCCTCGGCCCATCTTAGCGCCTAGGCCTGGTGGCTGCTTCACCTCTTGACTCTGTGTGTGGCCCTTCGAGTGCCCACTTGCAGGCAGCCAGCCCTGCAGACCAGTGCCCCGTGCACTCTCTGGAGCGCGTCCCCAAAGCTTCTGTGCAATTTAGTGTGGGGTCTGGGGCCCTTGGCCTGTGCTTGGCATCCAGCCCCTCCATGAGAAGTGTCACCGTCAGCCGTCCACTGTCTGCAGACGCCTCAGGGTGGGCTGCTGCATGATGGTGTCATCCCCCCTAGGAAGCAGTGTGGTCACAAGTGCGCCCTGAGCTGCTGGGTAGGCAGTGGGAGATGCCGTGCAAGAGATTCCAGGCAGTTGCGGGCAAGTATGAGAGTGGGGAGCCCTACTCCAAGGTTCTGTGGGGGGATTCTGTGCTGGGAGCATCGCCTGGTGACGCCATCCTCGGAAAGGGTCAGTGCGTTTCTAGGAGAGAAATGTCCCCGTGTGACGGAGATGCCTTACCTCCCTGAGCCATGGTGGCCCCGCAGAGGGCCCTGGACACCTGATTTTGTTCCAGCGCTACCTTCTCCTGCTGTGTGAATGATTAACTCAGTGGCTATGGTTTAGGAATCGCTGGCGTAGCCTGAAGATTTTGAAATAGCTCTGATGTTTAATTTAAAAGCCATCAGCTCTTGCTGGTATCTCAGATACTTCCTGAGCACTGACTGCAAGCTGGGTGCCAGGCAGGGTCATGTGCCAGGTGGGACCCTGTGGGGCAGAGGTATCTTTGACGCCAGGCCCCTTGGCTACTGTTTGCTGCGAAGTTAGAAATGATCAGAAGCCAGTGACCTGGCTGCTGGTGGCTCCGGCTGGTGTGTGGGTGCGGGGAGGGATGGGAGGTGCAGAGACCTCACAGGTGCTGTGCTGTCTCAGACCTAGGCCG